TGTGTCAGGTGGGCGGGGTCTGGACAGTGTCAGGTGGGCGGGGTCTGGCAGTGTCAGGTGAATGAAGCTCTGTTAGCAGGTATTAGTGATCCAGAAACAAACTCACTGGGAGGCAGCGGCTCGTCGACTCTCTGGTATCGGCTGATGTCATGGCGGATGGAGGGCAGGGACCGGACCACCTGATGACTGCTCACCTGAGCTGTGGCACCTGAACAAACATCAGACATCAACAAACACACGTCTCCTGTTTGGATCCACGGCTGGTTCTACCTCACCTGTCCTGCCCTCTGACCCACTGGTCCCAGACACGTCCTGGTTGTGGTCCAGACCCCCACGGGCCTGCATAGATTGTCTCCTCCACACCTCTGCTCCTTTCTCCTGCCCCCCCTCAGCGCCTCCTTCAGCTCCTGAGACTGTGAACAACAGAAACCTGAGTCTACTTCTCCTGCTGTGGAGAAATAACTGTTCCTGGATCCTCAGGTCCTGGTAGGTACTGGTCCTGCAGCTCCTCCCAGCAGTCAGTCTGGCTCATGTGAGGAAACTAAAACTGTTTAAATCTGTGGAGCTAAACTGGGGTCATACATTTTGTTCAAAATAAAAATATTTTGAAACTGAAAAAATAATTTTGAAACTCAAAAACAATATATTAGAATCTGGAAAAGTTTCAAACATCTTATCTTTTCAGTTTCATATAATTTTCTCAGTTTCAAACTTTTTATTTTCAGTTTCAAACTTATGACCCCAATTTAGCTCCGTATAAATGCACCTACCGGTCTTTGAGGGTCCTCCTGCGTGGGCGGTGCTGCTGGTGGGAGCGGACGCTGTGATTGGCCCGTTGGCCTCGCTGCTTGATGACTCCGCCCCCTCCTCCTCTGCCCTCGGGGCCAGCTCCCTCCCAGCCTCAGCCTCCTGTCAGAACAGGAACAGTTAATGGGGCAGCAGGTCTCAACCTGGACCTGAAGAACTCCTGCAGACCTGGATGGGTGACAGGGGACCGGCTGGGGGGTTGCAGGTTCGAGTCCTGCTGCTCTGCTCCTGACACTGTACACCTGGCTCCTCTGGAGCGGCCTGAGACCACCCAGACGTTGTGGGGTTTTCAGAGACCTGGACCGCCTCGGCTGATGGTTCTGCTTGTTCTGACCCGTGCTCCCCCTCCTGGGCTCCTCCTCTGGTTCCAGCTGGTTCTGGACCAGTTTGAGACTGGGAGGCTGCTGAAGAACCTGCCTCTGCTTCAGACTCCGGTCCAGGTCCAGACAGGGTTTTTGGCACCACCTGGTCCTGCAGTCCAGACCCGAGAGATGAGTCAGTGCCTTGTTGGGGCTGGTCCTGGTCCTGACCCACCGGGTCCTGACCCACCAGGTCCTCCTCCTCGTCCGAGTCTATGTGCAGCATGGCGTTGAGCCGCGTGTCGGTGGGAAAACTGGAGCGCAGGTTTGGGAGGGGGCCCASCGAAGGGCGGTCCCCGGGGCCAGGGGGGGCCTCCAGGCCGTCCAGGTAGTCATTGAGTGACACCTGACGGTGGGTGTGGCCCCTCAGGGCCGCAGGARCCAGGTCCTCCATCCGCAGACCTCCAGGCTCACGCCACGCGCTGTTGTCTCCATAGCAACAGACGCCATTCATCAGATAGGGTCCTTCATCAGAACCAGAGGGGGAGGGGCCACATGTGACCTGTGATGATGAGGAGGCACGAGGAAGGTCTTCATCATCAGAGGGACTGCCGGGATCACCGGGGCCGAGCAGGGACCCCCCAGGGTCAGGAGAGGCCTCTGAGAGGAGGATCAGTGTGAGTCCTTCACACACAACTCTGATTTATACACACAACTCTGATTTATACACACAACTCTGATTTATACACACAACTCTGATTTATACACACAACTCTGATTTATACACACAACTCTGCATTTATACACACAACTGAACAACTACAGTGAGTCTGTGCTGCTTTACTTTTCACTACTTTATTATTTTACCAGGTCTCCAGCTGCTTTCAGCTAGCATTTAGCATCCTACTAGCTTTAGCTTTAAGATAGCATTTTTCTATATAGACCCAAGCTACCATTTTACAATATTTAGCTTCAAGCTAGTATTTTAGTTCGTTTAACTTTAAGCTACCTTTTAACAATATTTAGCATATAAGTAGCATTTTATAATATTTAGCTTCAAGCTAGCCTTTTACTATAATTAGCCTCAAGCTAGCTTTTTACTACCTTTAGCATATAGGTAGCATTTTACAATCTTTAGCTTGAAGCTAGTGTTTTGCTGTCTTAAGGACTTGCCTGATAAAATAAATGTTTTCAAAGTTTTGTCTGACCTGACGGTGAACCCTGACCCACCTTCATGTCCGGTGGAGGTGATGTCCACTCTGAAGTGAAGCTGCCCGCTCACATTGTCTGTAGGGAGACGGCGACCGAGGAAGTTCACCGAGCGATGCCTGAACACACACACACACACACACACACACACACACACACACACACACACACACACACACACACACACACACACACACTGAATTATCTCATACCTGCACCAACCAACACTCAGGTGTGAGACTTAAAAAGTGAACTCACTCAACTGTGCACCCCTCCAGGAGTCTCTGCACGGGCAGGATCAGCTGACCCAGGAACCGCTTGATGATTGGACGACTTTTGGCGAACTTGTCCTTCACTTCGATCTCCAACACGTCCGTCATCAGAGCGACGAATGTGTATTTCTGCTCAGAGGTCAAACCATGGAGTCAACACTTTGAAAAATAAATAAATAAGTAAAGTTAGTGTGTGGTCACCTCGCCGTGCCACACAGGGTTGGTGGTGTTGGCGATGATGGAGGAGCGCCTCTCCTGGCCGTGGTGGGTGAACTTGGGGAGGCCGCTTCTCTTCCCAGGCTGGATGGACATCTTCAGGTAGGGGTCGGGGTTGAAGAACATGCCCTTCTTCAGGCCCACGGCCCGGAGGTCTGAGAGGAACCATTATTAGTGCTCATTGAGTTGTGTTTTTAACGTTCACACAGGTGGCTGAGCTCACCTGACAGAGTGAAGCTGACCAGTTTTCTACAGTGATCGCTCTCCGACTGCTCCTCCAGCTGACCTTCACTTCTCACCTTCAGGACAAAAACAGCCGAAGAGAAGCAGCAGACGTGTGTTCAGTGCAGCTTAGATCAAAGCCAAAGCAGAAAGGTAATAAAACATGCACTGAACATGTGGAGAGTAGCTAATATTCAGGAAAACCAGGAAACGCTGGATGTATCAAAAAGATCTAAAAGTAGCAAAAAACTAACAAATGGAGCAAAGTGTCTAAAAGCTAAAAGTCAAACAGTAGCTAACTGCTAAATGTAGCCATCGTGGAAAAAGACAAATGCTAGCAAGCTAAAGGCTTTTAGATAGTTTTTATTTTAAATACTTTTGGCTAGCATTTTGTTTTTTTAGCTATCACTTGACCATTGGCTAATATGAATTTTTGGCTGGCAATTTCCTGCAGTTAGCTAGCATTTCACTACATTTAGTTACTCAGTCTTTTGGTAATTTAGGGTTTTAATTACTGCTTTGCTCTTTTACAATAGTTTTTTTCTACTTTGTTTTAAATTAGCATTTGATACATTTAGTTATTAACTATCTTTTTTTGCCATTATTAGTTTCTAGTTAGCCTTTTGATACCTTTAGTTTTTAGTTAAAGGGAACCTGATCAGTTGTAACATTAGACTTTATTTAATAAACATATATTTTAACTGTAAAATAAAAACTGTAAAAATATTGTATGATCTTTAGTTTTTATAGTTTTTAAACTAAAAGTCTAAAAATATATTTTAACACAGACGGGGCCATTTTATTTAGATGCAAAGCATTCTGGGTAAATGATGATGTGGACAGGTCCTGGCAGAGCCCTATAGAGAGCTGTGACACTCTTTGAACCAGCCGACACGCAGTCACGTGGTTCATGGAGCTCCCAATAGTTCCAAACAGAACAGCACCGTCAGTCTGTCTGAGCGGACAGAACACTGAAAACTACTATTTTTTAACCTCAGTTTAGCTTGTTTGTCGCACAAGCACCGAGCTAATACATATAAGGCAGTATAGTGTTGGTGCTAACGCTAAAGCTAACAGGCTAAGCTGAGGTTGTTCTTCCATGAAGCAGCTCTGTTGTCCTCCATCCATATTTTCAGTTCCAGGCTGAGTCATTTCTACCTTCTCCTCTCTGTCAACGCTCTCTGGTTTCATTTAAAAGAGTCGATCATCAGATATTGTCCAAGATTAACCTTCAGGGTGGATATAGCTCGCTAGCAGCCTCGCACCGAGGACCTATCCACGTCATCATTTACCCAGAATGCTTTGTGTGCAAATAAAATGGCTCCGTCCGTGTTAAAATATATTTTTAAAAATTATAAAAACTAAACATCCTACAGTATTTTTACAGTCTTTATTTTACAGTTAAAATAAATGTTTATTAATTAAAGTCTAATGTTACAACTCATCGGGGATCCCTTTAAAAGTAGCAAAAAAACTGCCTAAAACTTAAAATAGCAAATGTCTAGCTAAGAGGTAGCAAACAGGCAGTTAGGAGGAAAACAGTAGCTAAAAGCTAATAGTTACAGAATACTAGTTATCTAAAAGTAGAAAAAGGATAGCTTAAAATAGCAAAAAACTAGCTAAATGCATCAAAATGGTAACTAAAAGCAACAAAAATGTAAACCAAAAACTACATTTTGCAAAAGGCAAAATAAAAACACAGAGTAGCAAAAGTTACCAAAAGAGAGTAAAAGAGTAGCTAAAAGCTCACGATCTGAAAAGAGAAGGAAACAAAATGCTAAAGTAGGATGAAGATAGCAACAGTTATCTAAATGCTAAAAGCAGTAAATTGCTTGCAAAAAACTACAGTCAGCAAAAGGCCAACTAAAAACTAAAAACAACTAACAGCTAGTTAAAAGTTGAACATATAAAACTCTATAATCTAACAGCAAAAAGCTGCTAAAACAGAGCAAAACAGTAGCTAAAAGTTAAAAGCTGCAAAAATACTAGCTATTTCAAAGTAGCAAAATGATAGCTAGCAGCTTAAAGTAGCAAAAACCTAACTAAAGCTAAATGTACAAAAAATCTAGCTACTATTAGCAAAACATTAGCAAAAATCTATAACAAGCTCAGGTAAAGCTGAAGAAGAAAGTGGGTCGAACCAAACACTGATTATTTAGTATCCAATTTTGTTCATAAATATGGGTTCTTACAGTTATACCTTGGTTTATACACCTGGTTCTTACAGTTATACCTTGGTTTATACACCCGGGTCCTTTCAGTTATACCTTGGTTTAAAGACCTGGGTCCTTAGAGATGTACCTTACTTTATACACCCGGGTTCTTACAGTTATACCTTGGTTTATACACCTGGTTCTTACAGTTATATTTTGGTTTATACACCTGGTTCTTACAGTTATACTTTGGTTTATACACCTGGGTTCTTACAGTTATACTTTGGTTTATACACCTGGTTCTTACAGTTATACTTTGGTTTATACACCTGGGTTCTTACAGTTATACCTTGGTTTATACACCTGGTTCTTACAGTTATACTTTGGTTTACAACAACTGGGTTCTTACAGTTATACTTTGGTTTATACACCTGGTTCTTACAGTTATACTTTGGTTTATACGTACACCTGGATTCTTACAGTTATACCTTGGTTTACAACAACTGGGTTCTTACAGTTATACTTTGGTTTATACACCTGGGTTCTTACAGTTATACCTTGGTTTATACAACTGGGTTCTTACAGTTATACCTTGGTTTTTACACCAGGGTTCTACAGTTATAGTATAACTGTAAGAACTCTGGTATATAAACCAAGTATAACTTATACCTTAGTTTATACACCTGGGTTTTTTTGTCCTTACCGGTATATGAGTGTTCTTGACAGTGATGCAGGGTGTCATAGCTCTTAAAGCTCCAGTAACGCCATGATAATATTTGAAACAGATCTTTGTCTCAGCTGTGAAGAGAGTATAAACATCAGTTTAAGCCCTTTATTAAAAAAGGATTTAATCAATGACTCAGGTCTGTTGGCTATTTGAACCTTTATCATGCGTAACACACGTGTATTTATTGGTAACACGTACGTTCCATGAAGTAGGGTTCGGGCTCCAGTCTCCACAGAATCTGTCCTCTCTGGGTGCCGTTGACCCCACGGTTTTTGGACTCCCAGACGTTGGCTACACACGTCTCATCTGCAGGAACAAACACTTTGACTCACAATAATGTTTGTACAGGTATTCAGTCCAGCTCAAGAAAGATGCAGGAGATTTGGTTTCTCACCGATGTGGTACAGGCCGATCCAGTCGGTGGCGTCCACTTCCTCCTTTATGTCCCACGAGATGATCAGGTGGCTGTGGCCGAGGGTCAGCTGGTATGTGGATGCTGTGAGAGACGAGCGACTTTCTGAGCTCACCAGGTCTGTGTCACTGTTGGCCCGCTGTAGCCCAACCCCCGGCGACTCCATCTGGGCTCCAGACAACTCAGAGGAGGCAGAGGCTCCTTCTGCACCGACGGACATCGACAGACCGCTGAGGCTGTCGGGTCCGACGGTGTAGGGTCGGGCTTGCGGGGTGCGCCTGCGCACCGCCAGCAGGTGGTCTCGGGCACTGCCATTGGGAGTAGAGGACAGCGGTGGAGACGAGGACGAGGCTGTGACGGCTGCCGCCATGGTTAAGGGCTGAGGGTGATGGTGGGAAGAGCTACACAAAAATTGGGGATGGGGACGAGGGGGGAGGACGGCGTAGGTGCTAGACGGTTGAACGTTGGAGGCTGGAAGTGTGGGTCAAAAAGAACAGATGAACGCAAGAAAAAACACTGATGGTAGAATGCCTGGACCTGGACACGCCCACTGCTGAACAAGGGCACACCCACTGCTGAACAAGGACACGCCCACGGTTGAACAAGGACACGCCCACTGCAGAGGTGCAGACTATGACCTCCTCAACAAGCAACTCTTGGAGCCTCGTTCATTCTGTCTGAACCATCGCTCGCCTTCCTGTCCGTCATATTAATCCTTCGTTGACCATGTCCATACTGGTCCAACCCTGAGGGACACTGGTCCAATGTCACCAGTATCTGGAGGTCAACATCAGAACCCTGGAGTCTTTAAGGCAGCAGGAGTTATAAATAATACACAGATCCATAACAAAGAAAGAATCCGGAATCGTCCAACTCATCGGTCCAGGAGAGACCAAGACCTGCAGGACAAGATCAGGAGGACAAGGATGGTATTAAATATTTAGTATAAATACTAAATAGTCTGACTTAAAAACTCATTAATAACAATACACAATTTTACATAATACTTGGTAATTACTTGGTATTACCTTGTATGCATACGTGGTACTTATCTGGTATGCACCATATGTACTTAGTACTTACATACAAGTCAAGTACCAATATACACTCACCGGCCACTTTATTCCCAGATAGCAAAATATGAGTGAATCAACGCTGAAATATGGTTAGGCAAAAATATTGAATCCATGCTGGAGCCTGACATTTAAACTATACAAAAAGTGGTCAGTGACTTGCATGTTAAATCAACGTTAGGTTTTCCATCATAACTGATACTATATCAATGTTGATTCAACCATCATCTAAATTTGGATCTACATGCACTTTTTTTTTATTTTTATATTGAATCAATG